TTAACTTCTAACTGTTTAAATCTGATTTTTTTTGCACGTAAGTTAAAATGTATCAAAAATCGGGAACCCTTTTTGCACTCGCTGTCAGTGAGCGGGAAATGCATTCGCAACCGAGCACGAGCAGTAACAAATGTCAACATCAACCACCCGCTGGCAAAGCTGTTCCGCTAACGGGGTCAATTTTCAACCAAGTGCATGACAACAGTGCTACCCTACCCCGCCATGATTACTGTGCTAATTATATATAATGTTTGCAAAATTTCATTGCAATCAGGCTTCCACATAATTTTCCCCATTTCAAATTCTTCGAAATTTTTTTTACCTGATTAATTTTCGTTGAGTTTCGATGCATTTGAATTGCAAAGTAGCAGTGGTGTCAACAGTGTAACTAGATGCAACAAACGTAACTTTCAGTGAAGCAGATTCTCCAGGTGGTATTGCTTTTAAAATCTGAAAAATTTGATTATTTACACATGAACAAAGTTTCAGCAGAGTACCAACTCGTCACTGGAATATATTCCGTTTATCACAGAGATGGCTGCAGTACTAATACTAACTTGTTCAAATTCAAGCAGTAAATAATGGTACATTTCGTTACGCCATTTTTTCACTCAGTGCTAATAGGGTCACTCAATCTGACTCTGACCTTTTCATATTTGACCATCTGAATCTTGTCGCGTGGCGTTATTAGCTCCAGTTGGCAGTCTAGCAGTGCCTCGTCGCCACTATTCCTCAACTGATATTGCACATCAGTTGGCTCGCCATGCCTCATATCTACTGACGGGACGAATTCGATATCGAATGTTCGATCGCGCCACGTTACATTATTCAGCGAATCAGTGGAGCTAGGTTCTACTACACCAGGATGAATCGCTACCTGAAAAATTGTAGCAAAGAATTTTGTTGTAACAGCAACCACTCATTTGAGCAGTTGAAATGGAAAGACGGGAAGCTGGAATTCGGCAAAAGGAGGGGGACGGAGGAGGTTCAGGGATCGCAAAAACACAGATAACCTTTTTTAACAGAAATTTTTTTTAAAAAGCTAGATTCCATTTTTTTATTTTTTGAACTTGCAAAGTTTCAACTTTTGCACAG